GGGGTTAAGAGCTAGAGAATTTTAGAGTTGTAAGAGCAAAATTATTTCTTTCCTGCAGGAATTTCAATAATGAAAGTGTTATGGCTTTTATTGTATTTTATTATTACAAGGAGTAAAAGAGGACTCAAAGGGGTCCAAATGTAGCCGGTGCCAAAAAGTAGCTGCTACCTCTAGGCCAAGGGGGGGAGAGTGGACAGTGAAGGAATTAAGGACTTGGGAGAGTTCTCTCCAGCCCCAAAGCTGAGATTCAGCCTCTTTGAAGAGGGCATGGCTACCACAGGAATATAAATCCTGCTGCTGGTGAAGAAACTTGCCAGATGGCACAGTCTGTAAAAGGAGTGTGCTGGAACTGGTCTATAGGATCAACCTGCTGGGTGGGTGGGAGAATGTGGCCTGAAGGCCTGGTGGGAGCTACTGCTGCTGGAGCAGCTTATAAACCGCAGCCTGGTGGCTTATGTGTAGCCCGAGAACCCTATGGAAGCTGCTTATTAGAACTGTTTGGAAGCCACAGGTGGGAAGAGTATGTCCTGAGGGTGCAGCCAAAATCACTATATCTGCCCACTGGAACTGATTGGAAGTGGTTGTGTCTGGTCTTTTAGGGCCTTTGGGCTCCAGCTCTGAATTTTAAAAGGTGGGCTGGGACCTGGAAGGAAAGTGCCTTCCTGCCTCTCCTGTCATGCAGTGTCACTCCAATGCCCTCTATTGACAGTTGTTCCAGCTGGCAAAGAAGAGTTTACAAAGTCCAGCTCCAGCATCACAAAGCAGAACTAAGGGTAGATTAGAAGCTGGGAGACAATAAATTGATAACTGGTATATAGTTCAAGAGAGCTTCACCCAGTTTTCAAGAGACAGGGAAACTGCCTGTTGACTTGTAACAAAGGGTACAAGGCAAAGATTTTCATATTTGTATTATATGCAGTGCTGAGAATATATGGACACTTGATATGGTCCAACTTCTCCCTTTTGTTTCTGCAGTTATCATCAAAGAATTTTAAAACTCAATAAAATGAGCTTTTCTTTAGTATTGTCTCTCTAGCACTGAATGAGAGCCTGCCACTTAGAAGGTGCTCGCTAAATGTTTGTTGGATAGACATTTCCATTGGTTGACTAGTCCCACACCCACTGGAGATTTTGCCTGGCACTACGTATAATTGCTCTTTATAATATAATTTCTAATAATTTGGTGTAGAAATTTAGGGTATGGTGTAGGGTATGGTTATAAGATACTGTTGAAATTATAATTTTTATCCTTTTGAGAGGGAAATCATTACTGATGGCAGGAAAGTCAATGAGGTCAGTGTGATGGTTAATTTTATGTGTAGCTTGGCTAGGGTATGG